TTGGCACCATGGATTCCATCATATTTTGTTTTAAATCTCCTGAGAATCAAATAAACCTGCAAAGCCTTAACATTTATTCAGGAGGTGATCTCCCCCATTTTGTGTTGATCTTTTGGTTGTCAGGTCCACAGGACCTTTTTAGACTTTTTGAGAACATCGCCCACACTTCCATGCCAGCTCCATGAAAGTTCAACCTATTGTCTTCTTCATTGATCAACTAGCAGCACCTGGAGCAGGGTGTGGCACATGACAGTTGTTGAAAACATTTGCTGAGGAATGTATGACTAGAAGAATGATTGGCTGAATCAATTACCCCTTAATGTCCCCCTTCCAATGGTGACAGACCTCTCCTTTCAGGTCATGTCATCTTCTCCATATCTCACTTTCTTCTGAAAGAAAAACATTCCCACCCCCTAAGGGGCCAATGGTTCCAAATCTGACTTCCAGTGTCACTTGATCTCTCACCCTGCATGATATGTGCTCATAGAGCCACCCTCACTGTGGGACTGGCCTCCACATGTCCTGCCCATTGGCACTACCTCATTTTCTCAGAAGTGTTGTACATTCAAGGGTTTTGCCCATGAAGACATCTTTAGCCAGCCAATGGTGAAGGTGAGGTTGGCTTTCAGATTCACCCTGAGATGCTGAACACTGGGCATCTTCAAAGCCTGTAAACTTGGGCTCCCTGTATACTCTGGAGACTTACTAGGTTTTCTGCTAAGATAGATTCCTGACACGCACTCCTCCACCAACCCCAAGTAGAAAACAACAACCACAGCAGCCTGCCTTTCAAGGGAGTGTGGATGGCAGGTAGAGAGAGGACCCTGGTGTTGTCTGATTTTACCTTCTTCTTCTTCATCCTGGTTAGCCTCTTGTTACTCTGGATCTGGAGCCACCCCACCTCCAAGGGCAGCTTTCCACCTGGACCCTGGCCTCTACCATTCCTGGGAAATATTTTACAAATAGGCTCCAAGGTTTTTCTTGAGTCCTTCCAAGAGGTGAAATGGGGAGGAAAAAGGATGGGAAGGCAGATGGTGGGCAAAAAGGAAGCAGAACTTGTGGGTAGCAAGGCAGTTTGCGGTTCCAACTTTGGGTGGGACTCTCCATATGACTTTGGAAAGTCTGAACTTTTGGTTACCCTGTGGCCCAACCTGCTCACTTACATAAGCTTCTGAAATCCCTATAGAATGGATATATATATAGAGAGAATAGACTGGAGGAGAAATTCTCATAGATTTGAGAGTTTGGATTTTGTTCCAGTGGTGGGGGAAGGAGATTCTGGAGATTGTATGCAGAGAGTTGGTGATATTAATAAAATCATAGGCTGAGAAAGTTTTGGCAGAGCCAAGAGACAAGGAGACTAGAGGAAGGGGATGTTTGTGGAGCTTGAATGGAGCCACAGAATTCAAGTCTCTGTTTTTCTGGATGGGGCTGCAGTCGACAGAGATCAGACTAGAGTGGAAGATATGATCTAGGTGTGACAGTGGACAACCTTTCCCTTGCATGAGATAGTGAGATGTGAACCATATCTCTCATTCCCCAGGGCTTATTTGGACCCAACTGTCCTCTTTCAATCCACAATGGCCAACATCACCTGCTCCATCATCTTTGGTGAGCACTTTAATTACCAGGACCCCAAATTCCTATGACTGCTAAGTTTACTGAATGAATCCTTTGACATTGTCAGTTCTTTGTACAGCGAGGCTAGGTCAAAGATTCTGCAATGGTCTAGCAATCAGGGTAGATGCATCCTGGAAAGGGATCAGGTGTTTCTTGTTTTGAGCAAGAAGGCATCACAAGGCCAGATCTCTGGAGGGAAGGAGACTATTTCCATCTCTCCCTGTTTCTGTACAAGGCTGCTGTTAGCATCTACGATGACTTTGTAAAGGGAATTATAAAACGGTACCCCTTCTAGAAGGAAAAATGCTGTTTTTTAGTTTATCATTGCACAACCTGAGAAGCTCTGCCCTGGGGAGCTTTCTTATTCCCTTTTCTTTCTCACTGGTGCCCTCCTTGTCTCTCCCTAGATGTTTGAACTCCTCTCAGGAGTTCCCAGGTGCCCCAGTGCACCTCAGAACTCCAGTGATTGCTTCTTGCTACCTATGGACCGGGTAAGAGCTGGGCTGGATGGCAAGGGGTGGGAAAGGGAGCTGGACATATACTGATGCTGATCTCATATGTTTGGAAATAGATGTGTGTGTGTGTGTGTGTGTGTGTGTGTGTGTGTGTGTGTTGCTTAAGTGCTGAATACTTCCTTACAGATGGGTAAGAGAGCCACTGGTCCAACCACGGTCAACCTATGCCCTAGGATTTCAGTTTGAGCTTCCCCAGGAATGTCTCCTAAGAGATTGCTAAATAATTCCCACCTGGCCCTGAGCTCATGTTCCCTCCCTTTCTCTCTCAGTCTGATTGGTCAAAGGCCCACGTATAACCCCATGTCCGTTCTTCTCAGCACAGCAAAGAGCATATCAGTTGTTAAATAGCTTCCTTATGATTTCTAGACAGTTAGCTGCAAGGGTCAGTCAGGAAATCAAAGATGCTAGAGGCCAGAGAACATAATGAAAACATAAAATTAATCAGTAAAGTTCAGTGAGTACTTACATTCATAATATAAAATCCACCTCAGGTCATGAACTGAGGCATAGAGTAGTTAAGTTCCTTGCCTGAAAACACACAGCCAGGGAATGATAGTGCCTGAGTTTGAACCCAGAAAGAGTAGCTCCAGAGCCAACCCCTGTTATCCATTTGACTTTGAGTAAAGAAAGAAAAGAAGAAAATGGAAAACCTATCACAAAGTAACATGGGAGTGGGGTGGAGGTAGGGAAGAAAACCCAGAAGCTGGGATTGATGATAAGGACGTCTGTTGTTGCACACAGGAGCATGTGGACTCTGAGAGCACATTCCATCATCACAATCTGGTCCACATGATGCTGGGACTGTTCTTTACAGGCATTGAGACCTCTAGCACCACTCTCCACTATGCATTCTTACTCCTTCTTAAGAACCGGGATGTGTTAGGGGAGCTGGGCTTTTAGTGTGTGAGAACTGATGGTGTAGTGTAGGGAACAAGGAAAAGGGATGGTACTAGAACTCCTGCTGTGAGTCCTAGTCTCCCGAGAGCCAGCACAGCACAAGGAAATTAATTAATATGTAGACAGAAATGAGACTTAGAGAAGAAGCTGAGCTTTGAGCCTGATCAATGCTGCTCTGGGCAGCAAAGATGAAAGCCCCTGAGCTTGCCACACCTTTATTCAGCACATTGGGAGTAACAGATGACTCAGGGCAACAGGAATAATCCTAGAACAATGAGGAACTTATGCAGGTGAAGATCCTAGGTCATGAGGCACTTATGTTGATTGGGAATTTATCCATAGCCAGGATGTCTTCAGCTGATGGAATCCTGCCCTGGATTGACACAGCAGCAGGGAACCATGGAGGTCTTAGCTGTGACCTGAGGGGAAAACAGACTTACGTCTCAACATGCCATAGCTGGCCTGTAGGCAGGAAAACTAGACCTAATCATAATTTTAATTGTGAAATGATTTTTCCCCAAAATTATATATAATTGCTCCCAACAGTTTAGGGAAGTGAGGCGTTTTCCCCCCAGCTGTCTAATGTCCCAAATTGAATAAGATACACAGAAATGTCAGTGAAACTTTACACTCAGAGAATGCAGAAAAAAGTATGTTCTGCAGAGTAAGATAGTACTGGAGAAAAGGCTCACAGTGGCCCTGAGGATAGGGGTCATTTCTGGTTAATAGGCTAAGTCCCTCTCAGAGGCCTGTTCTGGGCATGTGTGGCAGCTCCTGCTAAATTGTATTCTCTTGTTAACTGCCTATGTCTTTACTATGTCTTTACACATAGTTGTATCATAGGATGGAATCCATATGGATGAGTATATATTTAATATGTCTGTAGCTTATGATTACTTTTGGATACTTTGAGGTGTTCCTGTGCCTGAATTGGAGGTTTCCCCAAGATCTGAATTATGGACTATTACCCTGAGGCTATTGTGTGGGGGTCAGAAAGGTGGGTTTTGGGGCAGGCCAGGACACCTAAAGGTTGAAGGAGAGGTGGTCCTTAGCCCATGGTTGATGGAAGGGCATGCTCTGGTCTGTGGTAGCTACTATTTTAGTGGAGTCTGAGATATCTGTGTCCATAGTGGAAGGTATATGGGTGATAAATGGAAACAGTCAACTCTGGTGATCAACCAGGAAAACACACACATACACACATATGCACTCAGACATTTATAATTTATACCTGAAGCAGTGACAAAAGTATTTGAAGTTGACTAGGCACTTTAAAAATTACAAAATATTTTCATTCAAATGTGCTTTAAAGGTACTTCTGTGCTTACATGTTTTGCAATTTGCAAAACATGTATACAGAGAATACTGCAGTCAAATTTGTTACCTGTTGCAAAGCATTTTGCAGTCTGCAAAAGCACACAACACTTGATAGAATACTTCGAGATTGACAGTTTGAAAATTTACAGTAAATTGCTGATTTACAATACATTTTTCAGTGTCTTGATTGATTCTGCAGGCCAGACATGAAGCAACTCTTGTCTAATCAATATACTTCATGTTCTAGTTAGTGAATTTAAGAAGCAGAGAAGAAAAGGGAAGATTTAATTTAGAATAATGGTATAACATAAGTTCCAACCACAACTCATTCTCAATAAAAAAGGGAAGGGGTGTAGGGTGAGGAACTTTAAGTGTTGAATAATTATTTCCATCTGCCCATCTCCACTCAAGTGAACCTGTCATAATTAGAATGGAAACATCAAAGACTTCTCCATAAATAAAACACTGTTTTTCCTTCTCAATGTGTCTTTGAGAAGGAGCAATAGCCCACAACTTAACTAAAGAGTTCTTAAGACTCTCCCCCCAGCCTGCAGGTCACTTTTCAAGTCTTTTTTGAGCCTATCATCATAGGTGTTTACTGATGTACTTTCTTCCATGCCCTCTCCTTCCCAGAGAAAGTTCAGACAGAGATTGACAGGGTGACTGACCAACATTGTCTTGCAGCCCTTGAGGATTGGGAAAAATGCTTTATACGTATGCTGCAAGCCATGAGATTCAGAGATACAGTGACCTCACCCCGACTGGTATCCCCCACTGTGTTACTCATGATACTTGCTTCTGGAGATATCATCTCCCTCAGGTGAGACTTGCAGCATCCCGGATCTTGGGCGGGGGTTGCCAGATGCCTGTAGATTTATCACAATTCATGTCTTTCATCACCGGAGTACAGGGAAGATTCTTATTCCAAATTTTTATGGGGTAAGCGAGATTTTGGCAATATAAAAAACTGTGATCCTTCTTTTCATTTTTACTTTTATTAGATGCTAGATTTTCTTTTCTTGAAAATGCTACTATATACTTATTGAAACTTGTTCTATGATGGAGCTGTTTTTACAAAGCAATTTCCCCATGTCCCCTACCTTCCTGTTCCATGAAACTGTGTTTACAAATTGGTGTTTCTGCTTCCACACTTTAAGTACATGTGCTCACTGTGTTAGGTTTCCATGCCTGTGCCAAAATACTTGAGAGAAACCAACTTAAGGAAAGATTTATTTTTGTTCATGGGTATTGAAGTGTTGACACATGGTCACCTGGTTTTCTTATTCTGGGTGAGTGTTGAGGCAGACGTCCTGACAGAGTGTGGTTGAATAAACTGCTCATCTCATGGTGGTCAGGAAGGGGGTGGGGAGACAGAGATCACAGAATATGCCCCTCAAGGACACACCCCAGTGATCTGGTTCTTCCAGTGATGCCCCACCTCCTAACCTTTCCACCACCTCATGGGTTCCAGTCACTAGACTTGAATCCATGATCCTTTGGGTGACAGTATGATCCAAACAATAACAAGCTACATGAGATGGCACAGAGAGTCAGGTGATGCTGGAAGTAAAATAATTTACCGAGATCAGAAGATTAAAAGATGAATAATTTATTCAGATCAGTGTACAATGTCAAGGGGCATGGGGGGCAGTATTCTAGAGAGGAATTCTGCCCTTGGGGTGAGAGGTTGGACTTTTTATAAGGGATGGAAGACATGGGAAGGGACCTTAGTAAGTGTAGACATCTTAGCAAAGCATTTTCCAGGGCATCCTGTCCCTGGTTAATCTGCCAGCAACAGGTACATTATAATTAAATTGTACATTAAAGTTGAAAATTGACAAGGTCAGTTACTCTTGCTTCACAGAGGCCTCTTCTCAGTGGGAGAAAGATTTATTTTTCTCAGGCTGTTCTGGTCAGTGTTATCGTATTAACATATGAGTGGTTAGTACATGTAGGACAGGATTGCTTTTTTTCAGTTTTTATTTTTTATTAATACAAGTTTACATTACATAATGAATACATTCCTTCTGGGGAGTGAGTATATGTACATAACACATCTTAATTCCTCTTTTCATCCCCTTCCCATTCCCTCTGTCTGCCATCGATCCCCTTCCTTTTTTGTATGTTTCCAGTGCACAATGTTCACATTACTAGTGTGGTGTTAGTACATGTACACAACACATCTTAATTACTTTTCTTCATCTCCTTCTGGCATTTTTTTATCTCCTTCCAAAATGAAAAGTATCTATCTCCCTATTTCCTATTATTTGTCTTTTATTTTGCTCTTTATATTTTTGAGATTTTCATATAGGAAAAACCATGTGATATTTGAGCTGTGTGTCTGATTTATTTCACTTGATATTATGGTCTCAAAGTACACCTATTTCCCTACAAATGACTCAACTTTATCCTTCTTTATGGAAGAGTAGTACTTCTTTCTGTATAAATACCACATTTTCTTTATCTGTCGATGGGGCTGTAGTATATATACTATATATACTATATGCTATACTATACTATGCTATATACTATACTATACTGTATACTATAGTATACTATAGTTTCCAAGATTTGGTATTATGAAGTATGCTGCTATAAGCTTTGAAAAAGAGGCCAAAAGAATACTCTGGAGGAAAGAAAGCATTTTTTTTCAAGCCAGGGTCTTGCTATGTACTCCAGTCTTGCCTTGAACTCAGGTTTATGCTCTTCCAGCCACTTGAGTGCTGGAATTATGGGCATGTGCTACCAGGATCAGCCAGATGGCATCTTTAATCAGTGGTTCTAGGATTGGTTTAATGGGGAAATTTTCCTGGTAAGTGTTTTAGTACTGTTTTTGCTCATGGATAATCACCAGTAGTCATACACCACATATATACACACATATTCAAAGGTGAGTTCATATAATGTTTATCACTTTGCAACATTTGTATACAGTGTGGTGTATCTCCCTCCACATCTGCCTTTATGTTCATGCTAACACTTTTGCAACTTGTTTTTCATGTGTCTGTGTGGTTTTCTTTTATAATTTAATAGTTACATATCTTTAGGTCAATGCTTATGGTTCTAATTCACTAGTACCCCCATGGTAGTGCATGTTCCTGAGCTACATGTACCTAGGGGTGATATTCATAATATCAAATCTCCCAATGGACACCAGTTCATCAGAGTATGTTCTGCTCCTAGTGCTGGACTCAAGTCTTTGGAGGTCTCTGCTGAATCACATGTTAACCTTTCAGGTGATGGATCACAGAGAAGACCAAAGGGTCTTCAGGAGAGAGGGGTCAGGGTGGTCATAGTGGTGCTCAGAGGCCTCAGGACGCAACTATTAATGAAACAGGGTGGGACAATTCAATATTTTAGCCACCGCCTGCAAAAGTCATATTGTGGGTAAAGCGCACAGTCAATGTGGATATACCATAACCAATTCAGCTAGGCCTTCTTGATAGACAGTTGGATTCTCTTGGTTTTGATGCCTTCTTAGGACACAACTGTGTACCCAATTATGAACTCTGTCCTCTATGATCCACATAACTTTGAGAAGCCAGACACCTTCTACCCAGTACTCTTTCTGGATGCCAAGGGCAACTTCCAGAAGCCAGAAGCCTTTATCCCATTCTTCATGGGTAAGCTGTGGCCTCCTCACACTATGGACTCCTCTGTGTCACTCTGTCCCTTTGTTCACATCACACAGTGGGAGAAAAGATGAAGATTCTGAAGGAATTAGAAAGCAAGATAACTAAAGAGGCAAAGATAATATGAAGGGAAGGAAAGAGGAAAAATTATTGGGGAGAAAAATGGAAACTAAATTCCTGATGAAGATAAAAGCAAAAAACAAAAGCAAACACAGGCACACAGGGGAAAAAACCCACAAAATTATCTGTTACCAAACACCTTCTCTGCCCAGAATTTGTGGAGGGATTTTCATTTTTTTCTGTTAAAGTAATAACTTTATTATTTTAAAAGATTTTTATACAAACAAGTACACCATGAAGTTAACTGGGAAAATCACCTGTAATTCACTAACAAAAACTTCTAAATATTACAGAGGAGTTCTTTTCAAATTTTAATTAAATGTATATATACATTTGAAGTTTTGTGTTGTGTAGATAGAGAATAGGTGGGTAGATAACATGGAAGAAAGAAGGGGAAGGAAAGGGGAGAGACTGAAAATACATTGTCTTATTTTTTGTCAGCGCATTGTTTAAATCTATATTCAGGACCAGAGTGAAGTCCAGCAGGAAATTAGAACACAACATTTATAGAGTATTTGTGTTCTGAATCCTGTTATATCCTGCTTTCAATTGCTAATCAAATAATTCATCTTTTAGTCACTGACTTGAAGCTTATCATATACTAACCTTTGTGTCTATTTCTGGTTTATTTCTATAGGTCCATATCCATACTGCGCCACTGATTAGTCTGCCTTTTCTAGCTCTACCATACTACTTGAGTGACCTTATGCTGTGTTTTAATATTTCACAGAAGTTAGTTTTCTTTCCATAATTCTTCTTTTTTAGATAGTCTTATGGCTCTTCAAATAAATGTTTTACTTCCCACTATAATATAAAATCTTTTTTGTCGAGTCCCCCTCCTCCAAAAAGAAGTCAACTTTGATTTCATTAGGATTAACTTAAATTTGTAGATTTGGATAGCATCCCATTTAACTCCATTGAGTTAAATCATGTGACTTGGTGCTGTCTTTACTGTCAGTTTTCTATTAAGTTTTGCATATTTCTTGCCAATTTTATTCCTGAGAAACACGAGAGGAGGTTATTGCTATTGTTTTTAGTACTCCTTTTAACATGCTTTTTTAATTGGTCTAATTAGTACATCAAAAGCCATTGATTTTTGTACATTTATGCTGCAGCAAGATAATTTTCTGATATTACTTTCATGATTCATATCATGTTTTGTGGATAATTGATCTCCAAATGATATTTTGACCTGATCAATTCTTATGTTAAGCTGTGTATAATGTTTTCCCTAATATCATAGGCTAACACTTCACAAAGTGTTATGTTAAGCAATTTTGTTTAATTAAGGGCATTCTTTCAATTTAAGGAAAATATGTTCAATGTTCTCTTGAAAGATTAATGCCTGCCATATTGTTTTCCTGATATTTTGTTGCTATTCTACCACATATTTTTCTTGATTTTGAATGAAATTTAAAAAGATCTTTCCTTCCCCAGTTTTACAAGTTTCTTATTTTAAAAATTTTAAACAGGGTTTAGTATTGAGTATTCTCAACTATCTTTTCTGCCTTGTCAAGATGAACAAATTATTTTTCTCCTTTGATCTGTTGAAAAATTACAAGAAGTCTTGGTGTTGAGTCATACCTTCTGTAAAGCTGGAATAAGACAGGCATAGGAAGAACAGGGGGCTTGCCCAAGGCTCAGTAGATCTTATCCAGCATAGTCCATACTATGATAGTCTGAAGATCTTGGCAACTTAAAGCCAAGATTTACGAAACATGTCTATCACAGCCAGCAGATGGTGTGGTACGTAAAGGGTGGGGCTAATGTAGACTCTATCCTGACATACGGAAAAAAGAAAAAGTCACTACACCCATCCATTTATTCCACATTTTATTAGCCAATGCAAGTTCCATTCAAATTTAATGTGACAGAGATATTTACTGCACCCTGAATTGAACCATGAATAATTGTGAAAGACAATACAGTTTACCAGTCTTTGAGAGGCAACTCTGTGGGTCCCCTCCATTTTCCATTGAGACTGTAGTCAATATGATTGCAGCCCAAACTATGACCCAGACTAGGGACATGTTTGCTGCCCACCCTGGGTTATGTTATCTGGACATGTGCCTATGTCAAAGACAACTGTGCTTATTCAGCTTTGCATCCAGATGGGACACTTTTTTGGTAGTGGGATTGAAACCCAGGTCTCCTCACTGTGCTACATACCCAGACTGATAATCTATGTATCTATGTATGTATTTATCTATCTATCCATCTGTCTACCTTATATTTAAATCAGGATCTTACAAAATTGCTAAGTTGCCCATGCTGGGCTCGAACTGACACTCTTCTTGCCTCAGCCTCCATAAATGGTGGAATTACAGGAGTGGGCTGCCAAGTCCAGCTTAGATGGGACAGTTTTACAGTGGGGGATTCTGTCTTGCTGAAGGTAATGTGTTGGGGATATGAGAGGGAAAAATGTAGAAGTAAGGGTGGGCAGGGCTTAGCCAATATGTATAAAAAATGACATGGCTATCAACATACTAAAACTATTATATTCCATAGTATGAGGGTAGGATCTGGGAGGTTTACTGGGTTATCTGGTGACTGGGGAGGGCCTTGGTACCTGGATGTAGGGTCACACTATTTTGTTGCTCAGAAGCTTACAGCAGTAGCTGAAGCTCAGCTCCTTTAGAAGTAGTTCCATATTCTAACAGGCAATACAGGTGTGCTGGCTCCCCACTGAATGTCAGTCTAGGAGGGGCCTCATAGGCCTCAGAGCCCCTTTTCCTCCCTTTCATTGATTCCTACTGGGTATGTTAGAGGAATTCTTCCCAGATCTTCACGTTTTCATACAAATTTTATTGACAATATATTTAATCAAAACAGAGAGAGGAAAATGTGAGAGAGAAAATGCACAGAGACCAGGAGAGAGAGGAGTTGGGACAGGACTGGCTGACCTAAGTGGGATGTAGAAGGACACACACACACTTCTGTTGTTTGTGTTGAGGTTAAGAAAATGAACAGCATTCCACCGTCTGTAAATCTATGTAAATTAGCATGCAGATGACAGAGGAGAGTAGGGTGAGGTTACTGGGTACTCTCCCAGGGCTCTGCTCAAGGACACACCCTCCCTCTCATTCCAAGGAAAACACAACTGTCTGGGCAACAGCCTGGCACATGAAGAGCTCTTCCTCTTCTTGACCTCCATGTTGCAGAGCTCCTCCCTGGGTTTTGTCAAGGACCCAGAAGTCATTGACCTCACACCTTGGACCAATGGGATGGTGAAGTTGCCACCTGTGTTCCAGCTCTTTTTATTGGCCCTATAAAGAGAGGAATAAGGGATGCAGATGCCCTTAGGATCCTTCTCTTCAGCCCATATCCCTCCAAATAAATCTTTTGAGGCCTCCGAAGCTCTTTCCTTTCTTATCTGCACTGTGGAAAGTCCTTTCTGTAGTCTCTCCTCCTTCCATCCCACTGTGCTGTCCAATTTTCCCTGGTTGGCCCTCACAATTGACCAAGATAAAAGCCTTAGGTGTTCAAGGTGAAGAAATACCTTCAAGAACTTTCAAGAACTTAATGCTACCACCATCTCTAGCAGTTAATGAACGAGAGGAGAGGATTTAATCAAGGAGTAGAAGAGACAACAGTGGATACAAATACTCTACTCCCTTCTTCACTAACGCTACATCCTAAAATTCCCATTTTCTTCCTTGGCTTAAAGGCCCAGTTCCACACTCAACCTATCTGTGTAACTCTAAAACATCTTTATAATGTCTCTGACCTTAGACCGGCAAATCTACTGAGATCAAACTAAAATCCTATCATTTCATCATCAAATTGTTACCTGTTATTTCTTTGCTTTTTAAAGAGTAAATTCATATAACACAAAACTAAATCTTTTAAAGTGTAGAAAAAAGCAAGACCGCACAGACATTCGCAATGTTGTGTATTCATCACCTCCTTGCCCACTCTATCTCCCCTTACTCCTCCTCTTTTCCTTCCTTAAACTCCTTCTTCTAGTACTGTGGATTGAACCCCAGGCATTCACATTGAATACATTTTCAGTGGGCCACCCCTCCCATTTAGAGGCAGAGTTTCAGTAAGTTGCCCGGGGCTCAAGCGTGCTATCTTTCTGCATTAGCCTCCTGGGTGATGGATTATATGCTGCTTGCATCTATCATTCTTATGTAGTTGTAAAATACTATTATCAAATCAATCCTTACAACCATTAAGAAGTCAGTCCCCATTCTACCCTTCTGCTAGGCTTTGAGAACCACTAGTGTTCTTCAGTTTCTCTGGGTTAACCTAATTTTTAAAAAAGTACTTTTATCTCTAACAGATTCAATCCTGAATTACACAAGAAATGTAGAGAAGACCTATTACCACTACATCTCAAACTTTTTAATGAAATTGAAATGGAACCAACACTCCCAAATTCATTCCTGGATGCAAGCTTTACCCCAACACCAAAACCAGAGAAGGATTAAACCAAAAAGGAGAACTAAAGGCCAATCTACCTAATGAACATAGACACAAAAATCCTCAATTAGGAACCAGCAAATAGAATGCAGCAAATCATCAAGAAGAGTATATATAATGACCAAGTAGGATTCATCCCAGGAATTCAAGGATGATTCAACATGCACATATCAACAAATGTATTATACCATATTATCAGAGCCAAAGACAAAAACCATATGATCATCTCAATAGATGCAGAAAAAGTGTATGAGAAATTCCAACACCCACTCATGATAAATACCTTACATGAAATTGGAATAGATGACCTTTATCTCAATCTGATAAAAGCCATTTATGACAAACCAACAACCAACATCATACTACATGGACAAAACCTGAAATCTCTCACTTTAAAATCAGGAACAAAACAAAGATGTGCACTATCACCACTCCTATTCAATATAGTTTTAGAAACACTAGCCAGAACAGCTAGACAAGAGAAAGAAATAGAAGGAATAAGGATATAATAGGAAGTAATTAAATTATAATTATCTGTGCATGACATGATACTGTGTGTAGATCCCAAAAACTGCACCAAAAGACTCCTATATTTAATAAATAAAAATTCTGATTGTAGCAATTTGGCTAAGGTGTTGAGATTGATCTAATCAGTTGTCCTCTCTGGTATACTGAAAATGAGATTGCCTGAGTCATTAGAGGCTCAAAGCCTAAAGACAAGCTATACCTGGAAGACACCTCTGAGAAGCAATTATTCCATAAGGGTTCCAAATTCAAGCACTAAAGCTACTCAAAATAAGCAATATTGAAATATCAACCCAGGAATTAAACCAAAAACAGCACCACCAACAACAATAGAAATGAGAAGACACCTAACCAAGGTGCAAACCCAGACTTCCAGCTCACCACAGGCAAATTCTGGGCTCAACAAAGTGGAAAGATCTGGTAACCACCTTGGATACCCTGAACTAATAGCATGGGAAATAACACAACAGAAGAATGAGGCTCTAGAAAAATTCAAAACAGAAATAATTTCCCAGATAACTACAGAGATGGTGAGCACAATGTAGGACATAATTAGAGACTCTACAACAGAAACAGATAAAAATTAGATGAGTTCAGAAACATGATTGAAGCCATGAATACCCAGCATAGGAAAGAAATGGAAACCATGAACGCCCAACATAGGAAAGAAATGGAATCTATGAAAGAGATTCAAACAGATATCCAGGAGATTAAAAACTCCACTGAAAGTATTCACAGCAGAAGGAACAAATGTAAAGATAGAATGTCAGATAAAGAAGACAGCATTGTTGTTAGTGACCATGAGAAATTGATCCAGCATCTGGTAAGTGATGCAAAGAAGCATAACATAAGACTGATAGGAGTCCATGAAAAACCAATAGAATGTACAAATGACACACACACAAAACTGTCCACAGAATTAATGGCAGAAAACATCTCAAGCAGAGGAAAAGGATTTAACATACAGATAATTGAGACATATGAGACACCAACTAGCTATGATAAAAAATTCTACACCTAGACCTATAATAGTCAAGATCTCAGAAACTCAATAGAAGAACAAAATCCTACAAGCAGTTAGAGAAAAGAAACAAATCATATAAAAAAGAAAGCCCATCACAATCACAGCAAACTTTTCAACACAAACCCACAAGGCAAGGAGAGCATGGAGTGATGTCTTTCAACCCCTAAAAGAAAATAACCTCCAATATAGATCATTGTTTCCTGTAAAATTATCTTCCAAAATCAATGGGAAATTAGATACTTCCACAACAAAGAACACCTGAGAGACTTCACAAATACTAAACCACCATTCCAAACAATTCTAAACAATATCCTAGAAAAAGACAATAAGAGTCACAACTCCATGAGGACCAACAAAGTGAAACCATCAGGCAAGGGAAGAAATTAAAGGGAAAGTGGGAACAATTGAAAAATATAAGAGCTAACGACAGGAAAATATCATGGCAAAGATAAGTCAATACAGATAAATTGTAAACATCAATGTTAATGTCCTCAATACACCAATCAAAAGGAATAGACTGATAGAATGGATTAAGAAGCAAAGCCCAACAATATGCTCTATACAAGAAACACACTTAATTCAAAATAAATTCATAGACTGAAAGTAAAAGGATGGAAAACAATTCTCCATGTGACAAGGAACCTGGAAAAAAGCAGGGTTAGCTATTTTATTTGCAGACAAGGTAGATTTCAAACCAAAAAGCTAATTAAGAGAGACAAAGAAGGTTACTATATCCTTGTAAAGGGAATAATCCAAGGGGAAGAGATGACATTTATAAATATATATGCACCAAAAACTAGTATGCCCAACTATATAAAACAAATATTAATGGAATGAAAAACCAAATAAGAACTAATACAATTGTAGAGGGGGACCTCAATATTCCACTGTCACAAATAGACAGATCATCTACACAGAAAATCAACAACAAAATAATAGTACTGAACAAAACAACTTAATAGATCTCTACAGAGTGTTCCACTCCACAAAATCAGAATACAAATTGTTTTCAGCTGCACATGGGCCATTCTCCATAGTAGACCACATGATAGCTCATAGAACATGTGTAATGAAATGCAAAGGAATTTAAGTTATCCCCTATATAAGACCATAGTACAATTAAACTGCAGATCAATAGCATAAGAAACTGCAAGAACTCCTCAAACACATGGAGATTGAATAGCCCTCTGCTGAACAAACAATGGTCACAGAGGAAATCAAAAAACAATTAAACAGTTTCTACAATTAAATGATAATGCCAATACAACATACAGGAATCTATGGCACACAGTGAAAGCAGTTCTATGAGCAAAATTCAGAGCAGTGAATTCCCATAGTAGGAGTGAGCTCAAACAAACATTGTAATTCTGAACCTCAAGCTCCTAGATAAAGAAGAGGAAGACAAAACCAAAGCTTGTGCGAGGGAGGAAATTATAAAGATGAGAGCAGAAATCAATCCAATGTTGACTAAGAGAATGATACAAAAAAATCAACGAATCAAAGAGTTCATTCTTTGGAAGAATAAATAAAATTTACAAAACCTCAGTCAACCTTATACAAAAAAGGAAAGAAAAGACTCAAATTCATGTAATTAGAAATGAAAAGAGTGAAATCACAGCAGATCCAGCAGAAATGCAGAGGATTATCAATTCCTACTTTGAGAACCTGTAGACTAATAAAAAGGAAAACAGAAAAAAAGACAGACTCCTAGATACATATGAATTACCAAAGCCAAAAGAAGAAGATATAAAAATGCTAAAAAAAAAAACCCCAATTTCAATCAGTGAAATAGAAAATGTAATTAAAAATTCAGAAACAAAGTAAACCCCAGGTGCTAACGTTTCACTGGTGAATTTTACAAAAAATTAAGGAAGAACTAATGCCACTACTTCTCAAACTCTCAAATGAAATTGAAAGGGATGCAATAATCCCAAATTAATTTCTTGAAGCAAGTATTACTTTGATTCCAAACGCAGAGAAAGACCCACTCAAAAAAGAGAACTACAGGCCAATCTCCCTAATGAACATTGATGCAAAAATCTTCAATAAAATACTGGCAAAGAGAATACAGATCATCAAGAATATCTGGGCCAGGGATTTAGCTCAGTGGTTTTGCTGCCTGCTGCACAAGCACAGGGACCAGAGTTCAATATCCGGTTCAAAAAAAAAAAAAAAGAATATCATACAGCTGACCAAGTGGGATTCATTCCAGGGATTCAAGGATGGTTCAAAAGATTAAAATCAATAAATGTAATACACTATATTAACAGATTCAAGGACAAAAACCATATGGTCATCTCAAAAAATACCGAAAGAGTGTGTGAGAAAATACAACCCCCATTCATGATAAAAAAACCTACAGAAAAATTGAATAGATGGTCTATATTTCAATCTGATAAAGGCTATCTATAAAAATCCAATAGCCAACATCATACTAAATGGTCAAAAACATGCTAAAATCAGGAACATGAGAAGAATGTCCACTATCGCCGCTCATGTTCAATATAATTGTGGAAACATTAGCCATAGCAATTAGAAAAGAGAAAGAAATAAAAGGAATAAAGATAGGAAAGGAAGAAGTTAAACTGTCATTATTTGTTGACTATAAGATACCCTACATAGAAGACTCAATAAAGTCTACTAAAAATCTTCTATACTTAATTAACAGATTCAGTAAGTAGCCGGATACAAGTCAACACTCAAAACTCAATAGCCTTCTTGTACACAAATAACAGACTCAGAGAGTGAGAACTTGGGAAACAATTTGTTTCACAATAGCATCCAAAAAATGAAATATCTAAGAATCAATCTAATGAAGGAAGCAAAAGATATCTAAATTGAAAATGACAGAACTCTGAAAAAAGAGATTGAAGAGGATATAAGAAAATGGAAACATATCCCTTGCTCCTGGGTAGGAAGAGCCAATATATTAAAAATGGCCAGACTTCCAAAACTTCTATGCATATTCAATGTAATCCCAATTGAAATCCCAACAGTATATTTCAAAGAACTAGAGAACACAATCCAAAAATTCATTTGGAACCAGAAGAGACCTAGAAGAGCAAAAGCAATACTAGGCAACAAAGACATGACGGGGAGATCACAGTCACCAACATGAAACTATACCTGAAACCCACTGTGATAAAAACAGCATGATACTGGCAAAGAATCAGACCTGAGGATCAGTGGAATAGCTTGGAAGATGCAGACACAATTCAAGACTCAGCCACCTCATGTTTGACAAAGGAGCCAACCACCCTCACTGGAATAAAGACAGTCTCTTTAATAAATGGTGCTGGAACAACTAGATTTCAACTTGACACATATTAGAACCAGACCCATATCTTTCACCATGCACTAAACTGACATCAAAATTGGTCAAAGGTCTAAATATTAAAACAGAAACACCAAAATTGCTGGAAGATAGGTTAGGTAGAATTCTTGAAGACATTGAAATAGGAAAAGATGTTACACACAAAACCTCAATAGCAGGGGAATTAGCACAGAGAATCAACTACTGGGATCTCATCTGATTAAAAAGCTTCTGCACTGCAAGAGAAACCACCAAGAGAGCCAAGAGGCAAGCTACAATGTGGGAAAAATTTTTCCCACCTTTTCCTGAGACAGGTACTACTATGTAGAATATATAAAGAACTTAGAGAAGTCATACCCCCCAATTTAAAGACCCAGTTAAACAAAGGTCATCTGAAATTAACAGACATTTCTGACAAAGAAGTAAGAGCAGTAAATAAACATAAAAAATGTTCAACATCACTGGTCATTTGAGAGATGCAGATGATAACAACACTGAGCTTGCACCTCACTCCAGGAAGAATTCCTGCTGTGAAGAAATCCACCAATAACAGATAATTGTGAGATTGAAAGGAGAAAGGATTCCATCCCACCTCTTCTGGCCTAGAGGAAGGGGCGTCTGAGCTGCCATCCCCTTGCTCCTGGCTTAGAGAAAGGGGCTTCTGGGCCACTGTCTGTACCACCCAGTTCAACCAAGAGGAAGGGGCTTCTGAGCCGCTGTCCCAGCACTCTCAGCCCAGAGGAGGTGAGCCACACA